GTATGAATCTAGGAAAATTGGAAGTTGTCAAAAAGGAAATGGAACACATAAAGATTGATATCCTCAGCATTAGTGAGCTGAAATGTACTGGTTTTGGCCATTTTGAATCAGACAACCATGTGATCTACTATGCCGGGAATGACAGTTTGAAGAGGAATGGTGTGGCATTCATCCTCACAAAGGATGTTTCAACATCTGTCCTGAAGTACAATGCTGTCAGTGATAGGATAATCTCCATACGCCTACAAGGAAGACCTGTTAATACGACTATTATTCAAATTTATGCACCAACTACCAAAGCCAAAGATGACAAAATTGAAGAATTTTATCAACTTCTTCAGTCTGAAATGGACCAAACATGCAATCAGGATGTGTTAATCATCACTGGTGACTGGAATGCAAAAGTTGGAAACACAGAAGAATTACTGGGAGTTGGAAAATTTGGCCTTGGCAACAGAAATAATGCTGAAACTCGCATGGTAGAATTTTGCAAGAACAATGACTTGTTCATTGTAAACACTTTTTTCAACGCAAACGGGGCTCTACACGTGGACTTAACCAGATGGAACACACAGGAATCCGATTGACTACATTTGTGGCAAGAGGCAGTGGAAAAGTTCAATATCTTCAGCCAAAACCAGGCCAGGAGCTGACCATCAACTGCTCATATGCAAGTTCAACTTGAAGTTGAAGACAATTAAAATAATTCCAAGAGAGCCAATATATGATCTTGAATATATCCCTCCTGAATTTAGAGACCATCTAAAGAAGAGATTTGATGCATTGAACACCAACGACCGAAAACCAGAAGAATTGTGGGAGGATATCAAGAACTTTATTCATGAAGAAAGCAAGAGATCACTATAAAGATGAGAAAGGAAGAGAAGACCAAAATGGATGACAGAAGAGACTCTGAAACTTGCCCTTGAGCAGAGAGGAACTAAAGCCAATGGAAGAAATGACAAAAGAGCTGAACAGAAGATTTCAAAGAGCAGCTCGAGCAGACAAAAGCAATTATTATAATGAAATGTGCAAAGATCTGGAGTTTGAAAACCAAAAGGGAAGAACATGCTCAGCATTTCTCAAGCTGAAAGAATTGAATAAAAAAATTAAGCCTGGAGTTGCAATATTGAGAGATTCTATAGGCAAAATATTGAATGATGCAGGAAACATCAAGAGAAGATGGCAGGAATACTCAGAATCACTGTACCAAATGGAACCGGTTCATCTTCATCCATTTCAGGAAGTGGCATATGATCTAGAACCAATGGTACTGAAGGAGAAATTCAAAGCTGCAATGAAGGAATTGGCAAAGAACAAGGCTCCGGGAATTGACGGAATACCCATTGAGATATTTCAACAAATGGATGCCCCATTGGAGGCACTCACTCACTCGGTTATGCCAAGAGATTTGGAAGACAGCTACCTGGCCAACTGACTAGAAGAGGTTCACATTTGTACCCATTCCAAATAAAGGTGATCCCACAGATTGTGGAAATTATAGAACAATATCATTAATATCACACGCAAGTAAGATCTTACTGATAATTCAAAAACGGTTGCATCAGTATATTGACAGAGAACTTCCAGAGGTGCAAGCTGGATTCAGAAGGGGATGTGGAACAAGGGATATCATAGCTGTTGTCAGATGGATCTTG